GGGGGACCACCCTAAAAGGGTGATGGGTGAAGGGGGGAGGTGGGTTTTGGGATGCAGCTGGGGAAAAAAGTCTCCAATCCCAAACCGAAAACACTGTGAACGCACAGGAGTCCCACATGTACAGTCTGCAGAAGAGTTTAACACAACCACCTTAGAAAAGCAGCCCTTCCTCATGCTTGTGTCCATCACTCCAACTCTTCCATAGCAGCCTGCACCCTGGAAAATCCAGATTCCACAGGAGCCCCCTGGACTGTGTCCCCTTCCCCAGAGTGTTTGTGCCATTAGCTTCCAGTACCCAAATGCCATTAGTCATTTTTCCACCTGTCCCCCAAAATCTCCATGTCTCTCTTGACAGATAAATGAAGTCAGAATTATTTATGGCAAGAGAGGGAGACCAGAGCTTAATCCAGGAAAACCTTTAATTGCTCATAAATCAGGTTTTACAGGGCATTCATTTAGCCCTGATTGATATTCTTTTGTTAGGATCTGCATCCAGCACACTCAGAGAGAGACTCCCAAGCAGAATAAATACTCTCACCAAAGCCTCTTGTCTACACACCATGGGGACAGGCCCTCTAATGTGGATAAATTAATAAACTCAGGGGTTTTAGTGCCAGATGGAGGCATTCTCACTGCTGCTCTTCCCCTGAGTATCATCAGCCATGGAAAATCTCCCCGTGGCTCTTGCTTTGAGCCTCATTCCCTGCCTGAGCTTTGCCTCGATGCTGGCAGGGTTTGGGATGGGGCTTTGGGCAGGAGGATCAGAGGAACCCTGAGATTGTGGTGGGGGGCAAAGCAGGTCACTGCCAGCTCTGGGACAGGGCTGGAAAGGGGGTCTTTCATGGGCCAGATGCTCCCTGGGGGTCTCACTCGTGGCTTGGACTGAGGATGGGTCTTACCCCAGGGAAAGGCCTCAAGGTGGAGCAGGGAAGAAGCTCTCTGAGGGTGCCTGGAAGTCAGAGGAGACAAAGGCAAAGGGACCCTTTGCAGAGTGAAGGCAGGGGACAGGCAGGGCTGGAGACACCCTGAACACCTCCAAGCACGTTGGAGGGGCAGCCCCTTCAGTGAGGCTGCTCAAAGCCACCTCCAGCTGTGGCTGTGGTGTTGGCAGGACCTGCTCTGCCCCTTCCCTTCCCTCTCCACTGGTGCTGCTCTGCCACCCCAGGTTGGCATCCAGCTCTTTTAGCACTCCCTGTGTTTAACACCCAAAGTGTGTCTCAGAGCCCAGAGCAGGCTCCAGCCCAGCCCAGTGCCCTCACAAAGGCCCAGGGCAGTGGCTGCTCAGCCCTTTCCTGGAGTGTCCCGGGAAGTCTTTCCCATTCCACCCCGAGTGTTGCCGAGGGCAGGGGCCCAGGGGAGCAGGACTGATGGGTGACAACGGTCCCTACAGCAAGAACAGCTCCAGGGTGGCTGGTTTGCACCCCCTCAGTCCCAGTGGCCACCCCAGCTCCGTGCCAAGCTAGTGCTGCTCCATCCCAGGGATCCCTGGGCTCTCCCATCCCAGCACCAGCAGTGGGAAGCCCCAGCCCCATCCTGGATTGCTAATTAGGCTCAGAGCCATCCCTCTCCTGCTCAGAGCTGCCAGCCCTCCCTGCCACGCACATCCCATCTTGTCTGAGGCAGCAGGACATGGGGGGGG